CACTGAGTCACCTTACTACCGTACGGTTCCGAGCCCGGCGTGACGCGGCTACCGTACCGTAGTACCCGGCGTACGGTACGCACGCCCGGCCTTGAAGTTCGGGCCGCCGGGGGGGCCAGTGCTCACGGTCGCCGTAGTCTGATCAGGTTGAAGCCTGCCAGAACGGTTCAGTGAGGCCTCGGTACGGTACGGTCTAAAAAGGTCACTCAGGCCGAACCGTTCGGAACCCGGCGTTCCCGGGCCGGGCCGCGGCACTGACCGACCGTACTACGGTATACCGTCGGTACGGTACGGTCACCGTCCGGTGTCTCCCGGGCCGGCCGGCCGCGCCGCGCCGCCGGCGCCGGGCAAAGTTAAAAGTCATGGCACTACGACATCCGGTCACCGTCCCGGGCCGTGCCACGGTGTCACGGTCACGGTAATGGCACGCCCCGGGCCCGGCCGTTGCCACCGTGCACGGTCTAAAAAGGTCGTGAACTACCAACAAGATTATATATAACGTGCGAAGATATATATAACAGAAAAAATATAAGAAAAAAGGTGGGGGAGGGGTCAGGCTGGAGGTGAGGTCACGAGCCCCAGTGGTATGTCACGGGGGGGTGGGGTGTATATAGATGTTATTTGGTGCTCGGGGTAGGGGTTTGAACTCAGGAACATGGGTGGGGTCAGTGAGTTTTAAGTACGGGTAGTCCTTCTCAACCGATCTACTTTGAAGGGAGAATTTCCCATGGAAAGGGGGGTAGGTACAGGTTTACTTGTTGACGATGTGTTTTTGTGGTATCAAAAAAAGGTCACTAGGGGTAGAACACCACCCCTTACAATATGAAAATGCAAACTACCCCTTTCGTTCTTCCGTTCCTGCTCCCTCCCCCGCCAATATGTATTCTAATGGTGATTGGCGGAATATATATATTGTATCATTAAATTGTAATGGTGAAAATCAAATTTGATCAAAGCCTTTTAGGATTACTTCGAAATTTGGAACAATGATGTACGCCATTCAGAACAAGCACCTTCCTTGTGAAAAGATAGGACCCCCTCCATATAGGCAGCACTATGACGCACCCTTAAATGATACTATGACCTGGGTACTAGAAGCTATAAAGAGCTATGCCTGCAGCCGCAATGAACGTATTTCTAGTTGGCGGGAACAATATTGATGATATGCCCATAATCTCATAATAATACTTTACTCATCATGATACTGTCACAAATTTTACTGTATTATCTGCCACATGAAACCAAGAAGGAAAATTTTCATGCCAACTCAAATTTCACAAACCCTGCACAGGGCCTATGAAACGATCTCGCCTCCAAAGCACCTCTTTGTCAAATATTTATGTCAAATTTCAATATTGATACACATATTTCAGTTTTGTAAACTAATTTGAGTGTCCATCCCCAGAATTTTGTTACCCATGTTACCACCCCCCTTGTCTCCCTTCTTGTTTTTTTTCTTCCCCCCACCCCTAACCCCAACTGGAGTACCCACAAGTCTTTATTCACCACTTGCCATGACGGCTGAAAGAATAATAACCACCCCCACTTTATTCAAGAAAAGTACCCACCCTATACAGATATTCTTCTCAACACATTCAAAACCACCCCTCCTAGATCCATAGATCACCCCCGAAATTCTACCCCACCCACGTATCCGATGGTACAGATAGCGAAGGTTTCCGCGGGCGCCATGGCGTCGTGGTCAGTCGATGCGGGGTAGGCGCGCACAAGAAGTTCATGTCATCCTCCCCGCCACGTTCTCAGTGCATGTTCTTGTTGCAACCTCGTTTAGATGTCTCGCTAGGACTTGTTCTGCTGCTTTCTTGATGCTCCACTCCAGGCAGGAAGGGTCGGAGTACCCTGCAACTATCCTTCTGTGTTGCCATGATTCTATCGCGAATGTATCGCTGCCATGCTGCACTTTTGAGATGATAAACTTGTCTATATTGTTGTTCAGTACGTGAGGTCGTATTTCATCTTAAGACCATGTGGACTCTTGTGGTGTTTGTTCGGTATGCGTCAGTCCGTTCTTTGCCTGTGATCTGGGAGCATTTGAAGCGATTTCATAATGTTGTAAGAATTTCTTTCCTTTTACATGTTGTACGACATCAGAGCGTCTGGCTGATAAGTTCTCAATAGGCGTATTTGCTGTTAGATTTTGTACAGCAGCTCACATGCCGGGTAAGCCAATCAAGTTTAGACCTGATTGTAATCTGATACTTGTTTGCCCTGACAGCAAAGGAGGACATTGTAGCTCTCTTCTGGGGTGAGCCATTTTTCAGATGGAGATGGCGTCGATAAGGACAGATATACCCAACAAACTTGTGAAATATTAGCTTGCTGGTTCCCTTGGTCGAATCGATTTAGTCAGTGAGGATCTATACATTCCCCCCAGTGGACAAGACGGTGCCGGAGATGATGTGGACAAAGAATAGGAGAAAGAAAAATCCCGATGAGGAGACAGATGATCTTGAAATCAGCAGGTGAATTCAAAATGATGAAACGGCAAGAAGAATTGCTGGTGACCGACATTGATTCCCTCAGCAGGAGTCTTGAATTTGATACAAGAACAACCGTGATGATCCGGAACATTCCAAACAAGTATACACAACAAGCATTGCTTCAATTGATCGATGTCAATCATGCTGGAACATACGATTTTTTCTACCTTCCGATAGATTTTCGCAACAAGTGCAACCTTGGCTATGCCTTTTTGAATTTCAAGTCTCCGATCAGTATTTTGTCATTGGTGAAGGAGTTTGCTGGGAAAAGGTGGGAAAGGTTTCGCAGCGAGAAAGTCTGTGAGATCACATATGCACGGATACAGGGTAAGCAGGCTCTGATCGAGCACTTTCGGTCCTCCAGACTGATGCACAAACACGAGAAATACCGCCCTATAGTTGTGACTGATGATGGAAATTACGAATCATTAAGACCTGAGTGCATTCCATGTAATTTCGTGTACGATGCTGCTTTGATGTGGGAACATTCCAAGGGACATGATCCCATGATGGTGAATGATATCAGGCCTCGAGAGATTCCTCAGCCTATGTTTGTTCCGCTCCCGGACTCTTCCAATTCGTGGCAAGACCCTAACTCCCCTCAGATATCACAGAAAGTACTGGACAAGGAGGAGGAAGTCGCTGCAACTGCGAGGGCTGTGGCAAGTGCTGGAATAGGAACAGAGGAAGAGGACGATGTTTCTGAAGTTCAAGGTTTGTTTAATACCCTTGGGAATGATGGCACTGTTCTCATGATGCCTCGTGGCAAGATTGAAGAACAGCTTCAAAGGCCTAGAGCATGGAATTCTCTGATGAATGGGCAGCCCCAACCTATACCACAAACCATCCCTATGCCCGTCCCGGGTTTGATAAATCCCCCGATTCAAGAAGACGCCCTTGGAGGGATTCATAATCTGTTGCCTGATTCTGAATTATCGCCTTCAAATTTTAAGGGTGTGGAATTTGATCCATTCGGAAACCAAGCAGCTAGTGGAGGACCTCTGGCAGACAAACCATCTCCAATGCCGTCGCTCGCTGCGGGACGAAGCTCTGTGCTTGAACTCTTGAGAGGAGGACCAGGAGAAAGCGATCTGTATGCGATTGATCCAACTGTTCTTTCTCGTGGGCTTGATCCGCGAACAACCGTGATGATCCGGAACATTCCAAACAAGTATACACAACGAGCCTTCCTTCAATTGATCGATGTCAATCATGCTGGAACATACGATTTTTTCTACCTTCCGATAGATTTTCGCAACAAGTGCAACCTTGGCTATGCCTTTTTGAATTTCAAGTCTCCGATCAGTATTTTGTCATTGGTGAAGGAGTTTGCTGGGAAAAGGTGGGAAAGGTTTCGCAGCGAGAAAGTCTGTGAGATCACATATGCACGGATACAGGGTAAGCAGGCTCTGATCGAGCACTTTCGATCCTCCAGACTGATGCACAAACACGAGAAATACCGCCCATTGGTTTTTTGCAGTCCTGAGCAGGGTTCAATTCCAATGGAATGGTGAAGGGACACCATAATATTGCTTCATCTCTATGCAAGTCTACACTGCAATGCTCTATTTTGGGTTGGAAAAAGATGCGTCTTGTTGTTCATGTGCAGCGCAGGACAGAGCAGTGCAGCATCTCACGGCGATGGTTGCAGATGTGAATTCAGCATGGAGTGATTTGCGTTTTATTGTTAGTTTAATAATTTTCCTCTTGGTTTTGCAGCAATATTAATTCATATTTCACTTGCTATGACACTTTTTTAATTTCTGGAAAGTTATGGGTGAGAGTTTCGATTGAGGAAGCTCAGGTCGCCTATGGTGCACATTTTCCCGACCAATATTTCTGAATCAGCCCTGTGGCATTATTTATCAGTGCAGATGCTTTTCTGTCTGCAAATATTTTGAAGAGGCAAGAACGAGTTTTCAGAAGTTACAGCTTCGGCTCACGAAAGCACGCAACTGATTTTTTTGCACCCATATTTTGAATGGTCGTTGATTAAATTTGATAAGTGATGATTCATTCATTCATTCAAACGAGAGGTTCGGTGATTGGCGAGACGACACTGAGAATGTTTCGAGTACTCGCACGGCTGCCCCGAGCATACCTCATCTTGCGCTCCTTCTCTTCCTTCTGGTGGATCTCTACTGACGAGACTCGCCGTACCGAAGGCACCAGGCTGGACCTGTTGCACAGCTCGTCAACGTCGTGATGCAGCGCCTTCATGCAGGTGAAGAGCTGCGAGAAATGCTGCGAGTCCTAGCACAGACGTCAGCTCCTCCCTCTAGCTCCTCCCTCCCTTCACTAGTCCATGTACCTCCTTCTCATGGAGCTCGAGGTCGACCGTGGGCTCAGGCTGCGTCACAGTCGCGTCCTTGTCGTTGAGGGAGCAATCGCTGTGACGAGCGTTGGAATGCTTGTCAGCCTCTTTTTCGAGGTGGCTGGAGATGAAGCTCTCGAAGTAGGGATGCGCTTCATGTACCTGCTTGCTCTTGAGCGACAGACTCTTTCATCTGTTCTCACCTCTTGCAGGTCGATCTGCCGGAGGATCAGGAGCTCTGTGAAGGTAGTGGCTGTGGCCTGTGACAGCAGCTCGTCAGGTCGCCAGGAGCGTGCGGGGGCGGGGGGGTTACCATGAAGTCTGACTTCAGTTGGCTCAGGAACTCCTCCTCGTTGAAACTGTCCCACATGCCCAGCGAGCAGGAATCTTCAGCGGCTTCTTTGTACAGGATGCTCACTTCTCCCATCTTGATCTGCAGTGGGCATGAGCAACAAGCAGAAGCTAATTGACTCGTACGATGTAGAAGTTGTAGGAGGTGTCGTTGTACTCCAAGATGACTTCGTTGGGTTGGAAGGTGGTGACCTTTATGCGCGGCAGCAGACTCATCAGCACCCCGGGGCACTCCACGTGGACTGCAGCAAGGCAGGACATGAGAGGCGGGTCAGCAACATAGCAAGCTCGACTCTCACTTGCTTTCAGCAGGTTTACGTTCTCTATCAGGTCACTGTGAACATACTGCAGCAAGCTGAACCGAAGCTTGGAGGGGATCTCGTTTAGCAAGAATTGCTCGTCAAAGATCTTGAAGCAAGTCAACTTGACGAGTCAAGAGGAGCAGCGACAACTCACCGTCCGCTTCCACTTGTTCATGCAATGCTTCCTCACCCTGTCTGAGATGTCGGCAGGGAATTTTCTCTCTGTCAAGTACTCCTGCATGACTTGCACCCTTTCTTTCATCTGCAAGCACCTCATCCGCTGCCTCTCATCCTCTTCAAGTCACCTTGAGGTCCTGATTGTTGGCGCTCATCGCAACTGTCGAGATGCTTCCTACGATGTAGGCAAACAGCGCGCTACCGAGAACCTGTTTGTTCTCGCACAGTCACTTGACTTGTCTGTTGACCTTCTCTCACCATAGCAGCCGACGTGTACATCATCTCCATCTCATTGCAGGGAGTGATATCACCATAACCAACCTGCGGTTCGATCGTTCAGTCTCCTCCTTTCTTCTTGAGACTTGTTACCGTTGACAGCGTAACGAACGACCAGTAGATCGATTGGACGTACAAGACCTCGACGGAGGGCAATGCACTCGGATGGTAGCATTCAGTCCCAGACTCACCATACCTGAAGGAAGAAGGTGTCGTCAGTCAACCAGTGATGCTAGACGAACATGAAACAAGATGCAACATCACATTCAATCAGGCAACCTCCTACATCACAGACGCAAGTTACTTCATCTACTTCCATACATCACAGACATACGACTTCATCCCTGACACAAGGCAAGTTGTCTCTTCCTACCCCTCAGCGGTGAGCAGGGTGATGGATGTGTCGCAGCAACCGAAGATGTACTTGGACACCCAGCTGTTGCCTGGGTTCAAGCTCCCGATCCAGTAGAAGAGACAGGCGTTGATATGCGCCACCACCTGTTCCCTCCTGTTACCCTCTAGCTCGGGGCGGAGGCTCAACGCACAGCGAGGATGAAGAGCAGGCGTCCGAGACCGAAGAGAGGAGTGGAGGCCGGGTAAGCCAGCTCGAGCTTGTCAATGATCTTCCCTAACTTTGCCAGGCGGAGCCTGCAGGGGTTCACGAGGAGGAGACAAGGTCAGTAGCTGCCGGAGCAGTCAGAGAGGTTCTCACAGCTTGGCGAGCCTGATGATTCTGATGACTTTGAGTTGATAGAGAGCCGACAACGATCCCGAGGACTGCGTGCTCGAGCTCATCGTCTGCGGGGACGAGCTTGTCACTTGTCCACAACAACACGAGGTAGGTCGACCATGATCGTTATCTGCGAGATAGTTTCCGTGGGGATGGAGGACACGACTGCAAGACTTCAGCGACAGCAGCAGCTCCCTTCCTCTGCAGTACCGTCAACTATGAACCATCCCCTGATGTAGTTCAACGCTATCGCCCCCTTATCAAAGATTTCATCTCCCTCCTGCGACTCAGGTCACCCCCCTCATCCTGCACATGGTTATGCGGACGCACGTGCACGAATGTGGTCATGAAGTTGAGGAATATCTCGATGATAAAGAAGATCTCGACTGTCATCTCCATCCCGATTCTTGTTCGCTATGCATCAGCAACAGTCGCCATCCACTTGTCGTGTACGCACATGACTGGGTCTTTGTCTGGATTGTAGGCCATCTCGTACGGGACGGTGAATGTGCAGAAGAGAACAGCCAGCAGCGAGCTGCGCCAACAAGTCAGGCAGACGCCCTGGGCTCCTGGCACTGCTCACAAGATGTCGACGCAGAGGCGAGGGGTCCCGAGCACAGACAGGTAACATCGTGCGCAACATCTCGAGACTTCCTCTCCGACTGCCATGCCCGTCAGTCCCTCCCCCAGCCATGAGTCGGAGACCTTGGAGGCCCCGCCGAGAGCTGAACTGCTGCTGGGGGGCTTCGAAGGAGAGCAGCTTCATCCTTGCGCTCCTCGCGCTCTCAGGAGCTCAATGGGTCGCCAGCAGCTGCGCATCGGGCTCTGACTTGACCCAGAGCTGACGACGTGAGCTGCGCATGTCGACCTGCCACTTGATGTCAACACTCACCCGCTGCTGGGAAGCAGAGATGCAGAGCAGCTTTTCTTTCACTTCCTCTTATTCATTCACCAGTGAAACAAACAATTCTGATCATCTCTCCGTGATCAACTATACGTGCGCGTACTCCATCTACTATGACTCTCATCTAATCCTCTCATCCTCCTTGATTCACAACCTTGCAACTCTTCTGCTGATCATTGGTTTCTTCCTTTTCCTAGCGCTCTCCTCTGCACATGCCTCCGACAAGTCTCTTTGCGGTGATAGCAGCACCTCAACTCTAAATTCAATCTTCCTCTACTGAGCCACTACCGCCACATGACTCCTCCTCCTCAGTCACCTCTCCTGTCCCCTGCCCCCATCCACCCACCCACCCTCCTCTTCCTCGTCCTCCTCCTCCTCCTCCTCCTCCTCCTATCCTCCGAATTCAATCTTCCAATAGCCTCATCACCACTGCAACTCGACATGATTGCTCACACTTGTTTCTTCTCACTCTCAGCTCTGCTCGCTTCTCACTCACTGCATCGCTCCCCTTCATTTTGCCATCAGCCGCGTATCTTAGCCCGATGCAACTGGTAGGAAGATAGCGTTATTTGACTAATGTTTGGTACTGTTAAACAATCAGTCAATGCTTTTCAAGTACCGGGTCCATCGTCAAACGGTAGACTCAAAAAAACACCGAACAATTCCCCTGAATACGTTGTTGACTAATAATTGCAGTACCGAGGGGCCGCCGGCTGTACCTCTTAGGGGGCCCGGCGAAGTTGACGGCCCGGACGGCCACCGTGACCGTAACAGTGATCAGGAGGATTGCCCTCGTACTAATTTTTAACTTAACTTTGAGTAAACGAACCGTGGATATCTGAGGCGGACTCACTTTATCCCGGCCTGGCAGTGGCCCGGGAATTTCGAGACTAGGCCGCGACTAGACTCACCTGCCATGGCGACGACTGACGTGTGGTGGAGGAGTAGGGGAGGGAGGGAGGGGGGGGGGAAGAGAGGGAGAGGGAGAGGGAGAGGGAGAGGGAGAGGGAGAGGGAGAGAGAAAGGGAGGCAGAGGGAGGAAGAGGAAGAGGGAGATGCAGGAACAAGGAAACGTCAGGGAGTTGGAAGGGAGGCTGGGATGGAAATGAAGGAAGATTGGGAGAAAGCAGAATATGGTGATGAAGGTAAAGAATCTAACGATAAATCTTAGCAGGATGATCATCTATTCCTCCGTAGTTCGAACATTGTGAACGTTGAACCTCTAATGCCTCGGAGTTGATGTGACACCATGTCTCCTCAATGGGCAGTTACTTCTCGCCTTCCCTTGCTGTTCCTCTTTCTCTTCATCCTATCCTCCACCCAATGGCTTTCCCTGCCGGAGCTACGTCCCCTATGGCAGAAATTCCCAGAGGAACCTCAACCTTCCTTGCTGTCGCGGGAGGAGCAGACGATGAGGTCGGGACTGACGGCTGCAAGGACGCGGCTCCAGCAGGAGAGGATCGACTCTGTGAGGGCTCCTACAGGTAGTGCATGCATCCCTTGCTCCTCATCGTGTGACTGTGGTGGTGGCAGCTGGAGCTTTCCTGCCCGTAAGGCAGGCCCACCTGAGAGATAGCCAGGGAGTTGCCAACTCCAGCAGCGATGCCCTGGCAGGGCAGGTAGCTCTCTCCCCAACTGTCAGCAACCCCCCGCTGCTGAAGAGGGTCCTGCAAGAGGTGAATCGCAGCAGCGATTCTCCTGCGTCACCAGCAGTGACGGTTGGGAATCATTCGTTGCAGCCGCTACAGGCAGCAGCAGAGCCCCGCGCTCTCCCTCCCCTGGCGTCGGAGCGGTTTGCCATCGTTACTCTGCTCGCTGTCCTGGAAACGCAGAGGACGAAATACGCCGTGCTGGCCTGCTTGCTTGCTGACAGCATCAACAAGTACAGGTCAGAGTGGAAGAAGCAGAGAAAGAACATCGATCTGGTACTGCTGGCCAAGAGCGACCCTTCCTTCGATCGGTTCTCCGGCTTCTTTGAGCGCCATGGCTTCATCGTCAACAAGGTCCCTACCATCATCCCCAGGTGGGGTGTAGACACCATTGATCCGGTCTACAAGGATCAGTTCATGAAGTTCTGGGCCCTCAAGATGACGCAGTACAGCAAGATCCTCTTCGTAGATGCTGACTCAGTCTTCTACAAGGATCCTGCTCCTCTCTTCCTCAAGCTCCAGCACTTCACGGGCTGCCAAGCCAACGGCATCAAGGCGTGGGTGGGGGCTGCTCGATGTCTCAATGGCGCACTCCTCTTCTTCAAGCCATCCGAGGAACTTTTCCGTCGGCATGTCGAGCAGCAGCAAGTGATCCCCTCCACCTGTCGGCATTCCTGGATGGACGTTACAGAGATGGGACCTCTCAATGCTCAGAACTCAGCATGGATGCGGCCGCAGCCAGACAAGCTCGATGCTGGCCTCTGCTTTGACCCCTACGCCTACTCCGTGCGCCTCCCTCCTCTCTACACCGACTTCAACTTGGAGGAGGATATGATCCTCATGCATGGCATGAAGTACACCAACCTCGACGAGCTTGCGGAGGAGAAGTGGTTCGTTGGCCCTGGCATGCGCACCAAGGTGCTGCTCCCGTTCAGAGCTGAGTTCGAGAGAAAAGACGAGCTGTGGGCCTCATACAAGCGGCTACACTAGCGGAGGCTGAGGTACCGCTCTGACCGTACTTGAAGCCTTTACAGGCTGAACTTAGGACGGGCCGCTGCGGAGATCATACTAAAGTCACACTGGCTAATTAGTACTCTGTGATTCTCTACGGTTACACTAGCCGCCGCAGGGAGATCACAATGATGGCGGCCGGGCGGTACCGTGCGGCCCCGGGCAAGGTCTGATGGAGTCCGAGACTCGAGTTCAACAGCCACTGGCCCACTCAGCTGGCAGCCGCCGGCCGCACTGCCGCTGACTGCGTGACCGTCGGAGAGTCCGCCGCCCGGCCGCGCCGCGGACTCTGGCCGCCGTGACGCTGCACGGTGACCGCCCGGCGGCCCGGGACTCGACTCGTGACCGCCGCACGCGGCAGGGAGTCCGGCCGGCAAGTCAGTCCGCCCCGGCGCGAGCCTGGCCTGGTCACCGGGTTACGAACACTTATGCTGAAAATCATTGATCTGGTTGGAGATCCTGGTTTGATGCAGTCTACTAAGTTTACTTCCATTACTAAACATCAGCCTAACGTCGGATCGGTTGAAAATCGCCACTGATCATCGGATGGTTCGAAAGCATGTTCGCACTGGCAGACAGGCCCTGAGGACCCGGCGTCACTAAGTAGTGCGGCCTAGCAGGCCGGGCCGAAACATCGGGCCAGCCATCACTGGCAGTGATGAGACTGAGCCTGAGTTGGTCATATCGTCGAACGGTCTATGCCAGTGAAGAGTCCTTTACCTGTGAGTCAGTGGTTCAATTTGGATCGGACGTCACCGGGCCCCCGGCCTGGCCCACCGGGGAGATGATCGACAGTGGGCCTGCCGCGCAGGCTTCAGAGTCCGGCACCCGGCGTGACCCGGCGGACAGACGGGTGTCCGACGGTCCGACGGTCGGAAGCCTCGCCGGAAGCCTTACACAGTCACGGTGTCAGTACAGTGACCCGGCCGGACACGTGCTGCCCCTCATGAGGGCCCCGACTCCGGGCGGCACACCCGGTGACCGGCCGCCCGGGCCCTGGCCCGAGCCCAGCAGGCTGGCGCGGCCCGACTTCGGAACCCGGCCCCTCATCCCCGAACCACCCCTCATCCCGAACGATCCCCGACCCAGCGAACTGCTGACATCCCAAATAGGGTTTAATTATTAGGTTCTATTTCCGTGCTTAAAAGTACTATTGTAAAAGTATCAAACAATACCAAGATACAATGAGATAAAGGATCAAAGAGTACCTGAGAAAGAACATTGATACCAATCTCAACAAATTTAGTACAGAATACTGTACCAAATTGATGATGTAAGTAAATTTCAATCATGCTTGCCATTAAAGTTTTTTTTCTGGAGATGGAACCCCTACTCGTAAAAAAAAAACATACCACCCCACCATCTCTCTCCACTACCCTCAACTTGTATCATCACCCCTACCTTCTTGAAGGTTTCACCATACATATGTTGGGGATCCGTCAGATCTAAACCTACAATAACCCTACCCCCTCAACTTTTCACCCCCGAAATTCGCATATCCCGTGTCCTTCCGACCTTTCACGGACCTTCCCCCACTTCTGGAGACCGCACAGCCCTCCACCCCCTCTTCACCCCTACCCATGTTTCGCTCCCACGTTTCACAGTCACCCCCTTCTTCATAGTCAAATCTTCTTGAAATGACCGGTACTTTCCATGGACTTCTGTACCCCTACCCGCGATGGATATCCCTTCCTGGAGCCCCTGTTTGTATCCGACTATGACGACCCTCTTTACTGAACGGGTGCAAGGGACATCAGCTCCTACTACACTACCTGAGCTATTTCATAAGTAACATCATAAGTTTAGAAGCCCCACTATGTATCATAGCTCTCGTTTGCTCCCAGATCTGCTTGAAACTACCCTCCCATGCACAGAACACACTTTAACTTGAGCTGCATGGATACCCATATAGCACAAAGATTTTATTATTGCTACACTAAGTTATTTAATCATACCTCTTGACTCCGCCCTCCCAGATCCGTGACTCTTTGGAAAGCTACCCCTTATTATTATGCCACCCACCCACCCCGACTATTTCCTCCCAATTTTACTACATTCCTTACCCGTTTGATACAACCCCACCCCCTGATCGCCACAAATTTGATACCACCCCTCAGACTGATTAGAAGGCTCCGGGTCCCCCTCAGGACGTTTTGATGATCGGACTGTACTCAGTGACTAAACTCGAACATCGGACTCCCGACCATCCGACTGCCGCTGGCCCGACCGTGGGAGTCCAGCATCGGATGATCCCCCGCCCGGCGACTCAGTTTCTGAAGTTTAGCCGGGCGGCGCAAGGGCGCCGCGGCCACTCACCTGTCGTCGCCGAATTGGTTCAAATGACTGGCAGCGGAGACCGCCGAGGGGGCCCGGGCGGGCCACGGTCACCGGGCCCGGGCCGCAGGCGGGCCCGGGGGTACCACCGTCACTGCCGCAGTCACTGAGATCACTGATCAAGTCCCCCCGCCGGAACTTCCGGGACTGACCGGGAGACGATTATATAAGTCAACGAAGAGCCGCGTCGAACATGGTGGGAGGGATGCGACGGTTGCAGGAGGGCGGCGGAGGAGTTCGAAGAAGCTCGAAGGGCCCTGCGGCACTAGTAGCCGGGCCAGTGATCATGCTCTTCATGCTCGTGTTGATGGCTCTTCATATAGCGACTTCGAGCTGGGGCTCTGCTCAACAGTCGGCCAGACCCTCTGGGGGACGATCACCTGGACAAGCAGAGCTGCTAGAATGGTACAAGGCGGACCCAAACGCCGATGGAGGGAAGCTGCCTCCCAGAGCAAAGTTGAGTGGAGGAGCAGGCAGCTCAAGAGCGGGGGAGGGAGGGATGATAGCGGGGAAGCCATGGGCAATGCAAATCCCCGGGGTTGCCAGACCTGCACGAGCTCCGGTCAACGAGTTTGGGTTGCACAAATTCGCGCTTGACGACGACTATGTGCAATGGAGGAAAGAACCTTGGTTCTGGGAAGTGAGGGAGGGAGAAGAAGGGAGGCTTCCAGGCGTGAATGTACAGAGCAGTTACCCTATGGACCTTCTGCCATTGCGCGAAATGGCAGAAACTCTAGACCATCCCTTTGAGGACAGGTAAGATAGAGTCGACTAGATCCACCAGAATTCATCATGGTGTGACGTTCGAATATGATCTAGGGCGCAACAATACTTCATGCATTCTGCATGACTTTAAATCAAAGGTTATCCATTTCATGGTGCGCTCAACTCAGACAATTCGTTCTTTTGCACACTTGAATTGTATGCCTTAATGCAAAACTACATGCTTGTCAAAAAAAATTAAGTAAGAAATTTAAAATCTTGGTGAGAGAGTTTTTTTAAAGCAGAACAGAAACAACAATCAACAAATTCTGTATGAGCAAGACATTATCATCTTATTTCCTCTATGATGCCTTTGACTAGCAGAGTTGCGACGAATCTTTTCGCAGCTTACTGAACTTCACGTAAAAATCCAAATACTCTCCGTTTTGGATATGATTCATCCCTTCCTGATCAAGCAGCGTGATCACTGTGCTCTGGCAGAATTTCTGAGAGTGTGTTTTGCGTATCATCGCAGAGTTTTCAATCAAACCTTGCGAGTCCACTGCACAGCAGGAATGTCTCGCTTCCTGATAGCTATCTCGTTTTGCACACTCTATTTGGCTGAAAACTCTTCTTGTTTTTGCAGCAGGTATTGAACTGTCCGAATTCGAATCATGTCGCTCCAACACTAAAGAGCACGAAGGTGTGATCCCACTACAGGAGCTCTCGATCCCAGTGATCTGAGACTTAGAGAATGATCTTCTTGACATCAAAGCATCGACATCTTCACTTTCTGCATCGCCATCGCCATCGCCGTCGCCATCGCCGTCGCCGTCGCCATCGCCATCGCCATCGCCATCGCCATCGCCATCGCCATCGCCGTCGCCGTCGACATCGCCGTCGACATCGACAATGACATCCTTTGATTTGCGTCCAAAAGCAGAGTAAGGATCTTGAGTGGACATCAACCAACTGAGGCAAAGTACATAAATGTTCAGCAGTTGCGTCAGCCCACAGACAAGTCACCTTTTGACTCGAGCTTCAAGACGATCTCGCTTCGTCTTCTTGGCCTCATCAGCCTCCACTCGGTCCTGTAAGATCCGAGGACTCATTGAAAAAATTTCCATCCTTGTTCGTAACACTCACCTGCTCCGTCAAGCAGAATAAGAGTCGTCGTTTCGCGGTGTTGCTAGCTAGCGACAGCGGTCTTGGACAGAGAAACTAGCATGGAGCAAATTTCATGAATGTGTGAAATGAAACGAAATGCTCTACCTGTCTGGTCCATGGGCTATGCTTCGTCAAGACAGCTTTTTCGCTATGATTGGCTTGGGTGTTATGATCACAACAAAATTCTGACGTCGATGATGACCGCATGAATTCGAATTCTGGAAATAATCAAATCAGCACATTTCATATACTTGTCTTTCTCATGCTGCAATCATGTATGCATATGCTATTGTTTTTCTGGCATGATATCTGATGATCTACCAAATTTTTTTCGAGATTCATGTAGACTCAGAGCAGGGAAGCTGGCAGTGCATCTACTAAACATGAGACTCTTGCTTTATGCTTGCAAGTTCGTCGATCATGTTGATCCGAGCCCAGGGAACTAGAGTCATCAGTTCCGACCTCCGACGTGCTCTCCAACTCGTTCAAGGTTGGTTTTATCTCTAACTTCACTATCTTGACTTCCATTCCTTCGTCTACTTTCTCATAATCATCGCCTTTCATGATCCAACAATAAAGTTCGATCCCATCGACCATTGTCGTAGTAGGGTTGTAAAAATGTAGGGGGTAGTGTAGCAGTTTGTGTCTGGTGGGTTGTATCAGCACCCACCCTAACATTTCTCATCTTGTTTGACGGCAGAATAGGGGTACGGTGACTACTGGAGCAACTTTTGTGCCTCAAAGGGTGGGTAGTCTAAAAGTGAAAATGAAAGGTTGACGCCGCCTGTCAACTCTTTCAACGGTTCTGACGGAAATGATGCCGTCGGCGGCTTGCGTGGTTGGAGTGCCGGTTTTCGCTGCCTCCTTCGTTTCCTAGTATTTTATTGAGGCGGGTTTGTTGGCTCTATCCTCCCCTCCTTTGTTTGCTCCGGTTTGTCCTTCCGAGGCTTTTTCAGTCAATAAAGAGCTCAATGAAATGATGATCGGATCTGACTCCGAGTCAGACTGACCGCGCGGCGGCGGCCGCGCGGCTCACCGATGCCTTCGGATCTGATACCGCCGTGAGTCATCACTGAGGCCGCCGCCCGCCCCCAGGCGGCGGCCGCCGACGGGGCCGCGGCCGCCTACCGTAGTACCGTCCGATCGGACCGCCCGCCCGGGTCGGGACTTACTACACTGCCAACGGCCTTCCGACAAGGGCCGGCGCCCCGCACGCGGCAGCCCAGTGTTTCGCCGGGGTCCGACACTGACTCGCTCGGAGCAACTGGCAGCTGACTCAGTGAGTCTTATGAGTGGAAACCTGAGCCTCGGACGAGCTCCGAGTCCGGCCCGGCGGAAATCCACTGAACTTTAGAGCACCCAAATAACGGGCAGGTCAAACGTGACAGCACAGTGACAGGTAGGCGCGGCCCGGCGTACGACAAAACTCATCAAGCTGAGTGGAGTGTCAGTGCCGAGTATGCAGAATGCAGCGCATTAACCGTTGAACCATTCAATGGTTACTGAATGTGAACTGATTGCAAAAAATATCAGTCGCCTTGTTGAAACCACAAGATTACGATCCTGTCTAGAAAAAGACTGACAAGAGGTGCACTGAAACTAAGTCCAAAGACCTCTCGCTAGGCTAAATCGACACATAAGCCTTGTGTTGAGTTTACGGCTCCTGCTGGCATGCCAATGCAACTTGAAGAGAGTCATCTGCAGGCTGCAAAGGATGCACATATTGGGGTTACAACCCTTGCCTATCCGGAAACACATGGATACTCGTCGGATACTCTGTTGTGTATACAACAGATCCTATTTCATGTCGTGAGAGTGCTTCGAATTTGAAAAGAACTCACGCAGAAACGGCCATAGAGAAATTTCTGGGCTTGACACGACTGGATTGGGAGGACACAATTGATGTAAGTATGCAAGTGAAAAAGGAATAGGTATTCAAGAAGTGAAATCATGCAGTCTCGAGAAAACTAGCAGGAGAAACGATCTGACTGAAAGTCTTCCTTTCCAAGAAACAGCGGAGGATATACTATCCTATCACAACCTCCGATCTGAATTTCAAGGCATCAGATTTCTTCGCTTTTGCTCTTGGTAAATATCATTGGAAGGCATCCAGCACTGAACGCCTGGCTCTCCTCCCGGTCCAACCTCACTCATCCATCCGTAGCCATAGCCCTGAGCCCCACTCATATCACAATATCCAGCTTCTCCTACATTGTTAGTCCATGCATGCCCTGACTCAAATGAATTCGTTTGCATTCCTTCTGACAAGACGGCATCCCCCCCCGCCCATGGGATGGTGCCGCCTCCATGATGCCAAGCTCTGCTTTCTGTTTCTTGACCTGCAGTCCCAGCCACTGGATATCTCATCGACCTTGCCATGTTGTCACTTCCTACTCCCAGTGTCGGTGCATGGTAGGCTGCCCCTATCCCACTGCTCCCTACCCAGCTCCCCCTCACTTGCTCTTGTAGTGTCATCGGCATCTGCATGACTGCAGCTCTTGCCTGCGGTCCCTCGTGAATATCCTCCTTCTCGTCCTCGTCCTCAGCTCCGTCCTCGTCCTCGTCTCCGTCCTCGTCATCATCTCTCCCCTCCGCATCCTCTGCCTGCACGAGCTGCTCAAGCTGTCCTGCCCTCCCTCCCTGTTCTCCTGCCTCAGCCCCTCCACCCCCCACCGGCCGTCGCCTGGCAAGCACAACCGCCTCCAGCCCTCCCGCCTCCCGCTCCTCCTGCAGGCGCTGCCGCTCGTGCTGGGTCGGCCATCTCACGCCCAGCTTCTTGCAGGTGTTCTTCATGGCCGTCAGCGAGATCCCCTGCTCCAACAAGCTCGGGTCAGCTCTTCGTCCCCCTCGCTCCTCTCTCGTGGGGCTCACCAGCTCGTCGGCGGCGGCTTGAAGGCTGAGGTGGAACATGGCGGTGAGGTCGAGGGTGGAGAGGTAGAAGGGCTTGTTCTTCTCCTGCTGGCCGGCCTTTTTTCTGGGGAAGACTTTGATGCGGGTGTACATGACGGGAAGAGAGTAAGGTGCGGTACGTCTTTCTGTGGGGAGGCTGGTAGATATGAATTGAGACAAGGAAAAAGTCTTATGCAAAGGGGTGGGTGTTTATGCAGCAAAGGACCGGTTGTAATGTGGTAAACTTGCATTCTGAAATAAAGTCTTTTCAACAAATAGAGAGGTGAAGATGGAAAAAGAGTATTTTCGATCTTGCATCTAAGAGCTCGTTATAACAATTTATGCATACAACTTAATTGTAAACAATAATGGAATGTTAAAATTCACCCCTAGTTTGACTGGCCAGCAAGATTGATATCACGCCCCAACTGAAAATGCAACACAAAGTGTCGGTCGCGGCTGGCAAGCCTGTAAGTTGCTGCTTGCAAGCAATCTTCATGCTTGTGAACTGGTGCAGGTGAACTGTTCACGTAGTTTCCAGCCTGACCTGGCTCCAATGGACGCGCCAGCGTGGAAGCAGAGACATGAGAAAACGAAAATGACAAGATTTTGTTTCTGATCTACGTTACCTTACTGACTGAAGTTTGGAGCAGACGGTTTCTAAGTAGCGGTGCTCATGTGTTGAACTTCAAGTTCTATGTATGTTATTCTGTCAGGTGACATGTCAACTTAATATTTTCCCTATCATCCTTCTGAACAGAAGTGCAGGTCGCAGCATTTGTTGGCAGCCACTACTAAGGATTCTACATACCTCAATATGCTTCATCTTCGAATCGCAGAATCAAGGCAACTCAACCTTGCTACGGAAAGTAAATGGAGGTTATGCTCAAATTGATTCAAGATCGATTTCCTTCGTGTGCAAGGCTACAAAGATCCTTGGTAAATCCAGATAAGCAGGTTACCATCTTCTCAAATAGTACTTGAGCGAGTGTATCATCACAACCTGCCACCGCATATTTCCTCGTGGCGAGACCTTCCCATCATTTCCAACATTGCATTTCCGACTGAGGTCTGAACGCACATGTACGAATTCAACAATGATTTCATTACTGACGGGACGAACTGTATATGCTCTACACTACGTGCTCTGGATATTGTCTGCATACGTCTGACTTTGTCCTCTCTCAGTGCGATCGCCATCCATGCATCATCTCCTGTAGGCAACCAAGCCGCGGTCCAACGGTCCGATCTCACCTTCGGTCAGCCGGGGTCCCTGTCGGTCGGCGAAGCTTCATGCCGCAACGGATTACCACGAGGAGGCTCACCCCGGGCCTCATCCTTTCGCCATGCTGCCTGCAGTACGTGTAACTAGCCTCCAACACTCAGCCGTAACCGGGGGCACCGTTCTTGACCAACAGACTCCCTCTCCATGGCAGCCGCGTTTCTCACCCGGCCCGTCCGTGGCACCAGGCTTTTCGTAAAAGTGATTCATGCTCGTCACGAAGCTCATCTTGTCCCCGGTCATGGAAGGGAAGAGGTGCTGGACCATATGATCCTCCGCCTCCGACTCACTGAGACAGAATACAGTCACCTAGCTGACATCCCGACTGCTTGTCGAAACGCACCCGCTTGCTCGCAGGCTTGGATGCACCGACGGTCTTGGCCCTCATCGCCTAACGGTTCAGCCTGGCAGGGCGCTATCAGTGGCAATGTCGAAATACAAACGCCTCGGGGCCACATTGATCACCCACCATGAACCTCGTAGCTGTCGCAGCAGAAGTTCACAAAGTTCTTCGTCAGCCGCACATGCCAGAACAGCCTTCTCGATCCGCAGGCTGAGCGTGAATTACCGCTCCCCGATCCGGATGGCAGGGAACTGGTCTGCCACACCCTTCCCCACAGGCTGGAACCAACTGCAGTAGCACCTCTCCTCACAAGGCACGGTGTTGAATCATGTCCTTACAGCAGGGACTACCGGTACGCGCCAAGTCCCACGACTTCCCCGAAACCACCAGCACGTTGCGCCCCATATCGACCTCCTTCATGCTGCATGCAGCGGCGCAAGGACATCAAGGGGGAGGAGACAGAGAGATAGAGGCAACACCATTCATTTATTTCACACACTATTGAATTCCGTCAGATCGTCTTGATATTATCCACCAACTCACACAACGTATCGCAACGCGCAAGCTTATGCTCCTCCCTCATCATATACACAAGGTCCGTCGCGTACGTGCTCGCAATCATGATCAGCAGAGAGTAGAAGATCCTCGCAGCATGGTCCTCGTCCAACCCACTCCCGCAAATCCGTGACAGCTGAAAGCAGATATAACTCGTCTGACCCTCAGGCAAGTTCTGTCGATCCAAAGTACACCCACCATCCTCCACGAAAGTCGCTCGCAGCACCTCACGGTACAAATGTAAGCTGGTCCCACGCAACTCTTCAAGCAGATCCATAAAGTACCTAAACTCAACATCGCGCCCAGTGATCGTGCGTGTCAGACTCTCCACCTCGACGTTCGCATTCTCATACTTGGCTCCTTCCAGAAGTTCCAAAACTTGGTCAGGAAGCTGCCCCTCAATGTACATACCGCGCGTCATCATATACACATCACGGATATGCTCCTCATCAAAGTATATCGTAAGCGTTTGCAACTCAGACTCGATAAGCCGCAGCGCATAACGGTTCGTCAGCTTCTTGGACGGAGAAAGATTCTTCCAAGCACGATAGAGAACACCGAGGCTTTGAACGGTAGCACGCATATCATCGTATCGATACAAGTACTCCGCGCAGATCACTTTTGTAACATCCAACATGAATTTCGAAACACATTTCGCAAACACAAGATCCATGACTAGATGATACCCAGGCAGATGAAACACGAGCAACAGCACAGCAACAGCAGAGAAACACGCGGCAGCAGAGGAACAGCAGCAGAGGAACAGCAGCAGAGGAACAGCACAGGCGGAGTCCCACAGTGGAGAAAGGCGGCCCTAAAGTTGTAAAAAGTATAATAGGGGGCTTTATGGGCTGACCTAACCTTGACCTTGACCTTAGCCCTCTGGTACAAATGCTTTAGTTAATAAATGGGCTAAGCACATCCTAAGGTCAGCCATGTGCTTAGCAATTAGTGGCTAAGAATATGAACGACCTCAACGATTGGCTTAGCATAGGGTCCCAACCGTTGCGATCTCCCGGTACCCATTTGAAGCCCTTCCTCCCCCGTTCCCTTCCCTCATGCTCACCCCTGCCGTGACTCTGCTCGCCCCTGCCTTCCATCCTCCCTCTCTTCCCGCGCAGTCAACAACCTTGAAAGCTTGTAGTGTGGTAGATCATGTTCCTCGTCTCACAGTATGCATATCAAGTTTTGATCTGTTTATGTACAATGCAAATTTGAATAAACAGGCTGAGCAAATTCACGGTTGTGCAACGCGTCTTACGCAAAACTCAAGGATATCGGAGAGCTTCCATGTACTTTACATCAATTTGATCTCTGACAAGTGCATCTATCTTCACTTGATGAAGATTTCAAGCACACAACACGTTATCAGCCAGTGAACTTTTGTATTTGAATGAGGTGAAAAGTGATTGAAGATGTGCCTTCAAAGATGGGATATCCTGCAGATGAAGCTAAATTGGAGACAGACTTGGCATGAATCAAGCAATGCTTGGCTGGTGCAAGCCTCTAGGCTATCTGTTTGAAAGTCGAATGCCTGTGCTTGTCATGCTTGAACCAGCTGTACAGTGCTATCTGTATCCAAGGCATCATAGAACCTGGAAGGAAAGATCCCTTACTGCATGCTCTCCATCCTTAGTCAGTATTCATGCCGCTAACAAATGAGGAAACACAACCATCATGGACATCTTGGTGCTTTACCGACATCGCACTGCGGCATGCAGCGCAATTGTCATTCACGATATGTCGAACAGTTCCAAGAAAGAGATAAAAACAAAACTTAAAACTCTAAAACTGAAGGTCAAACTACTAAATATCAGTCAATTTTACAAGTTAAGGTTTCCTCCGAGGCTCCGAGTGCGCTGTGGCATCAGATGTCACGGAACGCCGCAGTGCTGCGTGAAGTTTGCTCCTACACCACAGCTCCGAGCCTAGCCAGGTCCGGGGACTCGGATCGGTCACTGAGTCGGATCCGACGAGCCCGAGCTGGTCACTAGTACTGACAAGTTACGTGTGATTCGTGACGGATGTAATAAAATAATCCTGGCGTGACAGACAGGACAGGAATAAACCTTTACTCAAAGGATTAAAGTGTCAGGGCTCAGTACTGGTCAGGGTCAAGCCTCCTACTCTTCTGATTATCCTCGTACTGATTTTTAACTTAACTATGTTACTGGTCAGGGTCAAGCCTCCTACTCTTCTGATTATCCTCGTACTGATTTTTAACTTAACTATGTTACTGGTCAGGGTCAAGCCTCCTACTCTTCTGATTATCCTCGTACTGATTTTTAACTTAACTATGTTTAAAGGATTAAAAAATCATCCTGATCTTCAACGGTCGGAAAAGTCAACTTCAAGTTGCATGGAAAGTTAAAAAGAAAGATGACTGTGGTTGGACAACCCGGGTATCGATCCCGGTGCCTCTCGCATGCTAAGCGAGCGCTCTACCATCTGAGCTAGTCGCCCGTTGATATTGCAATGTGGTGAGGCGTCATAATGGCACTTTGATCCTAACTAGTCTGGCGGCGGCGGGAAGAGAACCGATGGGCTTGCCGGCTTACCAACTTGCAACATGATAGGAACAGACTGACATGTAAGTTTTTTGCCGATCAGTTGCAAGTGATATCCGACACCATAACGACAGCACTCTTTCGTATCAACCTCTGCTGCAGGATTTTATCCATGTTCCAACATCCTATCTTGGACGATTGCAATCAAGGTCAGCTAGTCAGCCTAGAAGATGCAGACATCATTTTACTCAGTGTTCGATTCTGCATGCCTCATTGTTGCTGATTCATAAGCGTGATAGAGGATTATCGCAAGGACCAGGCTTTGTCATACAAACTTCCAAAAACGCAAAGGGCTGGGGATGGTTTAACATTCGATTTGTCTATACTCGATTCATTATTTACTTCGGTCATGCAGTACCAACTCCCTTCCCTACCTTCCACTCCTTCTCTAATCACTATTGTACGGCTTGTTTTGGCATGAAATTAATATTCAAGATCTATCAACGCACAATCTTACACAACTCTCGTAGACATTCTCCTCCCCTGCTGCTCTCCTGCTCACTCAGCCAGCATTCAGGTGATACCGTTGCTCACACCCTACCTCCTCTCAAACACTCTCCCCCGCAACCCATGCCGAGTGCGGGATGGATGCTTGCGATCCCTTGACACCTTCCGCCCACCAAGTGTCGTTGTCATGGGGAATGGTCGAGTGCTGATCTGCCTGGAAGTTGTTCTGTCTCTCGAAGTACCCATGAGTCAGCCCATAGATGGACTTATGCGGCTTCACCCTGAGAGATGAACGTCAGCTGATCGGGAAACAGCAACTCAAATGTGCGGTAAAAGCAGCACATCGAGCCTTCAATAGAGGAACATCGTGAAGCTGAAGGTTGTAAGAAAAATTTCATTGGTGCAATTCTCATCAACCCGTTGATAATATCGATTTCGACATTTCATTGAGAACTTTTTTGCCCTATCATGTTTCGTCCCCCAACACACAAACAGAGTCAAGACATGATGCAGGAGCTTAATTGCGTGTTCCATACAAAATTCGCCTTGAATCACGTGAGAGTGCCAGCACAACACAGGTCATTCTCCATCGAAAGAACAGACAGAAACGACAGACGCCCGCAAACATATTATCGAGGCAAGAAGGTGAAAAGGCGAAAGGAAAGACAACCCCCACAGCACGGCACTGCACGAGACCAGAAAGAGACGGGAGGGCAGAGGATATTTCACCAGTGATGAGCATAGAACGAAGAGCTCGACGTGTCCATCAGCTCATGCGCGCTAATGCCAGCTCCCTTCGCCATGGCCGTTCGCAGCCGTGCAAGAGGACGGGTCGTCTCTCCAGATTTTATACGGTAGGGGTAGTGAAAACGAACCCCCCTCAGAACCGCATTTAGAAACATGCCATGCGGATGAATGGAAGGGAAGAGAGGAAGGGAAGAGAGGAAGAGAGAGAGGACGGAGGTTTGTGCAGGTTTATGCATGCTCTATGAAGTAGAGCTACTGCCGTCTCAGACTGTCGCCATGTCCTGTTGCGAGTGAGACCATCCTCCTTGGATGTGTTGCTGAGCTACCTTGGCGGCGCCGACAGCTCTAGGCTTGCAAACTGATGTTTGAGAAGCTCCTGTCTCCTTCTCTGTCAGGATATGAGGCCCTTGGCCGAGAACAACCGGGTTCGTCGGAAGACACCGACCCTCGAACCGTACAAGACAGGCAGCAAGCTGTTTCTGCCAAGAACCTTGATGGTCGAGATGAAGGCCCAGCAGGTCCTCGTCAAGGAGCTGTGGAGCGATTGAACTGCGAGCTGATTGAGTTGACAGGTAGCGACATGAGCATTGCAGAGGCTGGTGTCCACCGAACGATGGACAGCAACCTTGCTGGATCAGCGTCGGAAAATCTGTCCAGTCTGAAACTAATCGACGTGGAGGAGGAGGTTTCAGCTCCCGCTGCAGTCTTTCTGCTCGCAGATCCCCTAGAGAAGTCCTTCAGTGGCGATATAGAAGTCCTGATCGAGACGGCCATACCCGTGAAGCGTTGGTTCCGAGCGATCATCTCCCTTGTCCAACTTGTAGTGGGAGGGATTTGCATCCAAGTTGGTATGAGAGAGGAGGACACAGTTTGCCAGGCGACCTTCTGCTCTCTCCTCATTCTCTCTGGAGTCTTCCAAATTGTTCACAGCTTCGTCGGGATGCGATTCGTTATCAGGAGGCTGGGGACGGAGGCAGAGGAGACTAGAATGATTCTCTGGTGTGTAGAGTTTATCTTGTGGCTTTCTGTTCTGCACGCTGTCGTGACAAACAGCTGCGAGAATCTGAAGCTTCAGGTGAGATAAATGTTGCAGTCTCTTCCTGTGCGGTTCAGATCTGACCATGACATGTCAGGCAATGGCTTCCCTGTATCTTACTAGCACTTTCTTGCTGTGGTTGATCACAGGAATTTTATGGAGTGTCTGGTTTCTCAGAGTGAAAGAAACATGATGCTTCAATTGTATGTTGTGCTCTCCATCACAAACACTCCTAAGAGTCATGAGGTTTGTGAATAATACCCCTTCTCCTTCGCCTCCAACGCCATCTCATCCAGAAGGCGCAGAACACGCTTCATCTCGTCGAACATCTTTGCCTTCATGAAGGCACTCGAGTGGTAGCAAAGGCATTCTAAACACTCTACTTCCATCAGCGCTCGCCGGGTTCTGCTTCTCTTCAGTTTCTGCAAGCAACTCAAATGCGCGGGCTGCATGTCGGCAATGGCGTCGGTAGAGACCGAGTACCCTCCTGTCAGCAAGATGAGGCTGAGGCCTTCACTGCATTCTAATCGTCTACCTGCTACGAACCGAGAGTGTGCGGCGAAGAGAGAGATCAGGCTCTTGTTGTTGTTGTCCAGCGCCACTCCAAGAGCCATCCTGCATGCGCGTCAAGACGGCAGGCAAGCAGTCGTCCTCCCTCCTGCCCTCACCGGGACGGAGTGCCAGGAAGATTCACAATGTGCTCGGGGTTTGCTCCGTGCATGAGCAGGGAGATCTGGCAACTTTCATTCTTGTCCTCGTCCTCCTCCCAAACTCACCGCAGCCGAGACGCCGACCCCAGGATTCTTCCCTTGAGACAAAGTTATATGGCAGGATACGCACGTTCACCCGTCTCCTTACCCTTGCCCGCAGCTTCTGCGCAGGCGATCAAAGGGGTACATCCCTCCTTGTCCACAACCTCCACCAACCACAGCCCCGCAGCCTGTCTAGCAGGGTCAACGACAAGAGCCTGGCAACTGATATTGCGGAACAGTATCATGCTTCGAAGCAAGGGACATGTGAATTTGAAATCCGGAGTCGCGTTTGGCCAGGGCGTGAAGATGGTACCCCTGACTTTGACTGCGCAGGCGTCATCGAGCCTTGTCCTCCATACTCATCCAGCGGGGGGAACCTGGAACCCTCTTGCCCTTGGATGACATCGGCGAAGTTTGCTTCTGACACGATGCCTGATAGGATGGAACCAGAGAGGATGGGCTGACCGAAGAACTAAGAGACATAATATCAGCCCCCTCAACGCCCCGTCCCACACGCTCTCACATCTTTCCAGATGGACACGATCTGGATTTTGTTGGATGTGTCGTTTTTAGCTGACGCCACCAACTGCAGCATGTCTTCTTCGTCTACGATGCTCATTGCTCTCGAACTCCTTGAGCTCCTTCTGGCCTTCTCGACCTGCTTTCTGGTTTTTGGCACCCAAGAAAGTCCAAGGGCTCGCGCGTTGGACAAATCTGTGCTGGTGGTCTCATCCCAAAATCTAACAAACAAGCGATCACGGCGTTGTTCTTCATACTACAGCATAGTAGGCAGCATTACATTCCATCAGCCTTGAGTGCCTTGTGGTTGTCTTGTATTTCATTCTCAAACGTTTTGCAGACTTGCACGAGCGTTTCGATGAAGTCCTCGAAGCTTTCTGACCTTGCCAGGGTCTCTACGAACGATTTCTTGATCCCCAAATCTGCACAAAGTATCCTCACCCTGTTGACAAGTCAGACGGTCTCGAAAGAGCATACGATCCATTCCTGTCGACCAATCGCCTCTTGTGCAGATGAAACTCAGTGTTGTGCACTACCATCTCCTTCCTGGCATACTCGAGAAAACCCTTCATGGCATCGTGCTGCCTGTTCAGGGTTGAGTAGTCGTCCAGGAGCTTTTTCCGGCTCTCCCCTTCTCTAGAAATAAGCTCCTTGACCGAAGTCTGAAGCAAGCACAGTCAGCAGCCCACCTTGAGGGAGGAAGCAGCATCGAGCATGCATCAGGTACCTGATCACTCTTACATGCGATCAGGCCTTGTCTCTGCTCTAGTCCCTGTCGCTTCCTCCCTGCATGTACCGGCTGCCGCCCTCGAAGTCGCGGAAGTACTTCGTCCTCCACCCACTCAAAACCAAACATGCCAGTTCGCCCACCACCCCACCACCCCACTATATTTATAATCACCCATCCTAGATACTTGCTCCAATTTCCGTACCACACCCCCTCAAGATCACGTGGAAAGGTGGAAATTAGTGGGTACTCAGCATATAATTGTCAAGGACCCGTACCGCCGTGAACTACAATACCCCCACCCCTCTAGGCGAAACCCGGTGGAAACATTGACTAGCTCCTCCGCATCCACAGCGGTCAAACGAACTTGACAACTAACGGGAGGGAAGCGGAAGGGGAACAGGAGGACAAAGAGCAGCAGCAGCAGCGGCGGTGGCGGCAGCGGGCGGCGGCGGCGGCTAGCGTGAATGCGAGGTCTCTCCGGTGAACTCGTTGCAAGATGCGATTGCTGAAAAGGACGAGGATGATAAAAAGAGCCATCATGTTATACATGATGGATTTCCCGCTCTACACCCTCTTTTTCATCTCCCTGATCGAGAATGGATCAAGGGCTGCCGCTCTTGATTCAACGTGCTTGTCCATAGATGGGACAATCTGCTTTAACAGGGGCAGCTGCATCGATGGTCGTTGTCAGTGTCAGACAGGCTATGGAGGGACAGACTGTTCTATGAGATGTCCAACGGACATCTACCTCAACCCTTGTAGTGCTCGTGGAACGTGTAGCAACACGGGAAACTGTGTTTGTTCTGCAGGTGATTTCAAGATGTTCATGTTTTGCCTTCAGTGAGATGGATTGGCTTTCAAGGTTGGACAGGGTTCAAGTGTGAGTTTGAGTGTCCGGGAGGTTTCATGAACCCGTGCAGTGGAAAAGGAGCTTGTAAGAGCGACGGCTTCAAATCTTTCTGCGAATGTTTATCGAACATCCCTGACAACTTCACTGGTGAGTTCCATGCTACTGACTTGTCTCGTCGTCTCACTTTCCCTCAAGTCGCCTACACGGGTCGTTCATGCGAGCTGCCGGTCTTCAACGAATCCTCCAGCATCCTTGGAGTCGTGCACGACGGCGACACAGCCACGGGCATCAAACTTGTGCTTGCTGTAGTTCCTGTGATGATTACACTGTTTGCCATGTTTGGCCTCTGTACCTTTTACAAGGTGATGGAGGCCGAAGAAAGTTGTTTTTCCTTTGATGAGACGAGCGTACAGAAAAGGCAAGCAGTCCTGTTCATCATACTTGAAGATCTTGTGGGGTATGTTCGCCGATTGTTCCAGAAATCAGAGCAGGAGGAGGATCTCGATGAATCTGTGCACTCCCCCGAGAAGGAAGATGTAATCGCCTCTAAGCTCCTTAGGTTCATTTTGACCCCTTTCCCTACAGGTCACCTTTGAAGAGTACGAGCTGGAGGTCAAAGACGACATGGTGCTGAAGAGCTTTAGCAGCATTCCTGCGTACCTGTAAGCTACACTCCTGCCTCCTCATGTTCCTTACTCTCAGCGCCTTAGCCCTGGAAGGTTCCTACACCTCGGAGCTGTGAAGTTGGGCCTGCAGCAGCTGGACCTCGATCAGTACCTGTCAGCAGCCGGAGTGACGAGGGTGCAGCGGGCGATCCGATCGATCCGGGAGGTGCATGAGTTTGAGGACAGGACCACAGACAGGCTTACAGAGTACAAGATGTATGTGCTTGAGGCGCAGAGGTAACGGGTTGTAACGCCGTGGACGTTTGCTAGCCTGACATAGGAGCAGGACCCGCGCTGTGCTCTACTGCAAGGAGGCTCCGATTGACGCTGCCTTCAGATATCTCAAGATTGTGGATCTGCCTGGCCGTCCAAACTTCTCATCTGAGAGGAGGAGGTTTCGCAAGAGAAAGCTCTCGAACGAATAGCAAGTGCGGAGTGTGTTTTGTTTGCTTTTTGTACTTTACGACGATGATGTAAAAATTTGAGGTAATCAGCCGGTGAAAGTTCGCCAATTCGTGTCAACAGAAAGAGATCTAGCTGAGAACCGACAGAAAGTCTTAGAAGATTCTTTCTGTCGATGGGTGTTCAAAGTACCAAATCAGGTTGGCAGTTCTAGAGCATCAATGTCTCCAAATGGTCTTGCTTTGTTTAATTCAAACACTTGAACACAAAAGACTGCAATAAAATCCAAGTTGAAAACAAATATTCGCGACAGATTCCATAGGTCAAGGAAATTTAAAGGAAATTTAAGCCTGGCCAGTCCCTGTTTGAAAAACCGATGCAATATTTGAACATTCCATATTGATCAACGATCAACTGTTTCCAAGGGCGTGACGAGGGAAAAATCAAACGCATGCATTGTCACCGAGGGCAAAGTCAAAAGTATTCTCAGCGTTAAAATTAATTGACAAGCCCGTAGCATCATGGAGCCAGGAATTCATTGCCATCAAAAGTCGCCGGCTCTTCCTCGCCAGTACCTTGCCCAGCCCTCAACATTCTCTCCCCGGTATCTATTTGCTCTTCACGTCCTCTGTCTGCATATCCAGCTCCTAGCCATACATATCCTCCACCAGACCCACCTCCTCCCTCTTGCGTCACCAACTCGCCTCCAGAACACTTCCTTGGCTCCTGCTTCCCCCCATCGCCCAACTCCAGTCCCACACCACTCATGTGCTCATCGACTGCACCTCTCCAGCCTGAGGGAGCCAACGAATTTCCTCCTACTCCCAGTGTCGGCGCATGGTAGGCTGCCCCTATCCCACTGCTCCCTACCCAGCCCCATCTCACCTCCTCCAGAATCCTCCTCGGTATGTCCATCACTGTAGATCCTGCATGCGATCCAACGTTGATTACCTCCTCCTCTGCCTGCACGAGCTGCTCAAGCTGCCCTGCCCTCTCTTCACCCAGAAGTCCCTCCTTTTCTCCTGCCTCTGGCCGTCGCCTGGCAAGCACAACCGCCTCCAGCCCTCCCGCCTCCCGCTCCTCCTGCAGGCGCTGCCGCTCGTGCTGGGTCGGCCATCTGACGCCCAGCTTCTTGCAGGTGTTCTTCATGGCCGTCAGCGAGATCCCCTGCTCCAACAAGCTCGGGTCAGCTCTTCGTCCCCCTCGCTCCTCTCTCGTGGGGCTCACCAGCTCGTCGGCGGCGGCTTGAAGGCTGAGGTGGAACATGGTGGTGAGGTCGAGGGTGGAGAGGTAGAAGGGCTTGTTCTTCTCCTCCTGGCCGGCCTTTTTTCTGGGGAAGACTTTGATGCGGGTGTACATGACGGGAGAGAAAAGAAGGGCAGCAGGAGACAAAAATGAAGAGGGGGTGGGGTGGGGGGGGGGGGGGACAGTGTAGGATGGAAGCGGGAGAGGGAGGATAGATATGTCGCATATCTCATATTATTATTGTTATTGTTCCTCGGCTCCAAAAAGTCTCAGGAATGGTTCGACGTGCTCAATCGGAAAGACCTCTTTTCAGTGGCATTTGTTGTCAGAAAGCCGGCCCGGGCCGAGGAGATACAGTCAGAGATGACAACGTATACTACTAAATTTATAACTAAAACCCTCCCCAGATATAAAATACACCCCTCGAAACTTCAGTTTAGTCAAAGTTAAGTTAAAAATCAGTACGTGGACAATCAAGAGACGCGGATTTCGGTTGAAAGCAGTAACTGAGTACCGAGTGACTGCCGCAGTCAGTGCACCGCCCAGCCGGCCGGGCCGGCCGGGCCCCGAACGTCCGGAGTCCGGTGACCGTCGGACCCCGGAGTCACTGAAGCCAGTGACAAAACTTGCCGGCGGCCGGGCCGCCCGGGAATCATTGAATCGTTACTAGCCTTTACCGTACTAAGGCTACGGTACTGTAGTGTACGCGTCCGAAGCCCGGACGCGGGCCCGGGCCGGCCGCGCGGGAGTCTCGGAGGAGTCACGCCGCCGGAATCGGCCGGCATGGATGATTCAGTACCGTGTAAAGTGCATGCCGCGGCCGCGCCGCACGGGGGTCAGGCTTCACTGATCCGATCGATTACGGTACTTTCAAGTTCATCCCGGCAGATTCCGAGTCACTACTGGTACGGTAAATTCAAGGGCCCGGCCTCCGATGACAGACCCAGTACGGTCCGATCCGAGACTCAGCAGTGACCACTGCAGTGCCGTAGGCTGCCTGTGGGTACTTGAAGTGTCGGAGGTTGCCAACGGTTCACGGTTGCCAGTGGGCAGAAACAAGGCCCGGGCCACTCCGCCGTGACAGGCATCCGATCCGATCAGTAAAGGCATTGCGGGCGCGGCGGCATGTAGCTCACCGGGCTTGAACTATTGTGACACTGGGCCGGCGGTCCGATGCCAAACACTGACTCAGCAGACTGACCGTACTCCGGGTACTCAGCCTGGCAGAACATCCGGGCGGCGACTGAGTCGGCGGCGGCGCGTCGGAGAACGTGACGGGCCGCCGCCGCGTCGCGTCGGGCCACTTCCGCGATCATACCAGAGTACCGTAGTGGCCCAACAGCCGCAGCTTCAAGCCGAGGCTAAGAGTGAAGACAACGTCACACGGACCGTGCCGGGTCGGACGCGTACCGGAGGTACTGCCTCTAACACTACCAACACCGCCGGACATCCTTGATTCAGTTCACGTGGACGCTGATGCAATTTATGCGCTTGATTCCTGCATTTGTCGTGCACTTTCTTGCTCAGCAATACCATCCCACCATCCTGTGCTGAATGTTAATAGGAAGCGGAGACAGCAACGATGTTTCGTCAACCTGGCAGGATCAGTGATCCATGGTAGTTTCCCACTCGAATCTTCCCTAACTGGTCGAAGTTTGCCATAGCATTTTGCAGTCGAATCATCGCCAAACCAATCCCCTTCTCCATTGCGATGACTTTCCCGATTGAACCTGCACGCTGTCAGGAAACCTGGTTTGCGATTTCTCATTGAGCATAACATGCAACACCTTTGCCCTCGATCTCGACGCTTTCACCAGATGTCACTGCTTCTTTGTCAAACTTCATGGCCGTTTCCAAAATGTCTACTGTGCTTGCATCATTGATTTCAAATCCATTCTCAGTGATGACAAATGGGATCAAGCGCTTGCGTATCTGAAATTTGCAGCGTCACTCAAACATCAAAATCGCGTCGCGCTGTTGCCAACGGAAGACATGACAAAGAAGGCATAGACTTCACCTGCCCTCTGAAGTGGCTTCGTGCTGTGAGCTCTTGTCCAACATAACACCCCTTGTTGAACGAAACTCCTCCAAACAGTTCGATGTTTCCTTCAAGTGGCAAGCATGTGCCCTGAAGCAACTCCTTTGGACCTTGTGCAACGCCAAGGGAGATTCGATATCTGCCAACAAACTATCATCAGAGCGTGTCCAGAGCGTGCAAGCTCTTAGCATTACATGTCGTAGAGCGTCTCCGAGATTTCACTGAAGCCGGCTGCCGAGGTGAACAGTGTATGTTTCCCTTCTTCAGAGATCAATCGGACCCCAAGCTCACGTAGGCGCGGGTCCTGAAACAACATACAGTCTTGGGGGCTAGATTTTGATGTGAACCTGTCAAGACTCGCCTCTGAACCCACAGCCGCGTATACTGCGAGGCGTTCCGAGTGATCGGTCAGCACCACCTTTGCTCGCAGCTTGTAACGTTTCAAAAACTTGAGGAAATCTTCTTTTTGGTCCCTTGCCACATCAATAAAGACCGAATTTGTAGACTCTGAGTACACCAACAAGGCATCGTGCATAACTCTCCCCTGTGCGTTCAAGAAGGCAGTCAGCATGGACTTCTTGGAATTCAACTGCTTCATGTCGTTGGTGGTTAACCCCTGCAAGAATGCAACACAATCTTCTCCAGCCACCTCGATCACAGCTCTGTTCTTGAGATGAGTCCAACTGTTCTTGATGGAAGAAGAGCATTCCGAGGAATAATGCAGATGACGGCGAGGAAATTTATGCAGCGCTGGTACATCAACAATCATCTTGTGTGCACCTAGATGGTTGAAAACGGTAGGAATTTCTCCTGGCATTATGGGTGTACGAGAAACCGTTTGTCTAGTGTAGCACTTTGGAAATGCTGAGGGAATGTTTTGCAACCTGGTTGCTGATTGGAAAGAGAAGCGAGGACAGGAAATTACAGAATATTGGGTATTCCGCGTATTCCAGGGACTGATAGGAGCAGAGAAGCTAGAGGAGGTCAGATACCCGTTGGATCGTATCCCTCGTACTACAGCTCTTGCCCCACCATCACCACCACCTCCTCCTCCTCCCACCCTACTCGCGCCCCTCGCAGCCTTGTGTATCTGCATGGAAGGGATGGAAGAGTGTCAGCTGTGGGATTAGGTAGGGTGGGTCATACCCTAACAGAATATGAAGGGGTATCTACGGTGTGACAACAGACTGGGAAAGCAAAAGGGGTACAGCGTGAAGAAATTATAGTAAAAGACATAAGTAAAAAGTATTGCCATGCTACCCTCTCCCACGAACAAACACCATTACAATACTACCCACCCTCTGATCTCACCAACCCTCATGGACGCAAACAAGTACCATCCAATCTAACATGTTCATGAAACCTAAGATCTTGCGATCGTAACATGTCACGGGCGACTAGCTCAGATGGTAGAGCGCTCGCTTAGCATGCGAGAGGCACCGGGATCGATACCCGGGTTGTCCAGGTTTGCCCCGATGATCCTGGCTGGCGCTGGGGCTGGACTTCAAATCCAGTGAGGGTTGACGCCCTAGAGGTTCGATTCCTCCTTCGAGGCGGGTAATCTTTTTACATTCGAACTTGAAGGCGGGTTAACTTTTTTACCCGCTGATTCAAACTTGAAGTTGCTCTCTCGCAGCCTACACCATGCCGTGGATCAGTGATATCTTTTGGTAACTGAGGGTCCGTACCGGCTCGTAGTCCAATTGGCACTGACCGTACTCAGTGGCAATTCTCCGACGGAGTCCGGGCCCCGGGCCCTGCTTTGGGCCATCAAGGCCGACGCCCCGCCAACCAGCGTGCGGATAAAAATGACCCACCCCCTTCACTACCCCTGGAAACAGGATGGGGTGCTGCTTTGTTCAATATACATGCAACAAAGGGGTAGGTATGAGGGGTATGGGGAAAAATATAAAACACTGGGATTAAGGTAGGGTAGGTAGAAGGAGAAAGTGAATTTGGGAGGGGGTGGGGTGGAGACCATTTAGATTTTGGGAGCGAATGGGTCGGGGTGGTACTGGGGTCGTAACCTCAACTGTTCATGGAGATGTAGAGCCGTCTGGGACATGGAGGAGGAGGAGAGGAAATGAAGAGAGGATGAGGGCAGGAAGGGAAGGAGGAGAATAAAGGTCTAGAGGGAGAGGAGAGCATGTGAGTTTGGGGGGAGGAGAGGAAGGGAGAGGAGAGGAGAGGAGAGGAGAGGAGAGGAGAGGAATGAAGTTAATTGTTTGGTGGGA